TCGTATAAATCAATCTAAAAGTAATGATATATTGAGTAGTGTGTGTGTGTTTACGAAATCAATATTTAATTCAAATGAATGGATTAGTAAGGGAAGGCCTACTCTGAGCGCCGCTGATATTGCCATTTTGGACGCAACGTCTGGCGTTCTCGGCGTTTGCCACATCAGTACTGCTGCCGGTCTTCGAGTGCGGACCTCCTTGTGATGACAACGAGTTGTGTCGACAACCTTTAAATCAGACAAAATTCTTGTCCATAATTTCATTAATCAACGATTTATTGACTAAAACCCAACTACCCCTTTGACACCAAGAATTTCTCGCGACTAATGACAAGAATCTCATATATAAAGTGAAACACATATCGTGTTCACACTAACGGCTACGACAAGTGCTCCTAATATTCATCATCGGAAAAGTGTTAGTCCTTTACATATCGAGAGACACTAAATAAGTTGATAAAAGTTTTTATTTTTATTCCTCAACGTCTGGACTGATGGCAGTCTATGGTTTTAATGATTGTGTCTGTCGTCGCGAGCTTTAAGTACTTTATTATTGAAGAGTCAGTGCAATGGGAATGTAATCGCAATTCGCGTCTCTATTTGCAATGTAATGAAAAGGCAAACCTTTATTTTGATCGATTGACTTGACTTTGGAAATAATCATAATAACGGTCGCCGCTATCACTAGTGATCCGATCACTGATATCAGTATATATATCACAGGCTTTAGACCAAATTCTGTTCAGGAATTAAAATACGGGAATATAATACAAATTCATGAATAATTTCATATATATTTAGCTCAAAAAAAGAAAAATAAACACAAGAATATAAAAAATATGAAAGCAATTACAGAATCGTGAAAGACATAAATGACAGACAGATTGTAATTATATTTATATAAACAAAAACTCCTTAAGCATAATATTTATGAGATGTAAGACATGCCAGTAATATATAGTATAAGTTTATTATAAATATATTTATTGAATGAATACTACTTAAAAACAAGTAAAACTAAAATGTTATTCCGGCAGAAAATGTTTTATTTTTGAAAACTCATTAATATATATTCGAGATATTAATCTATAGCACCAGTATTCTTATGCCTAAAATAAATCAAATGGCTTTTAAGCAAATATAAAGAAAATCGTTTTCATATAATTTTTATGAACTGTTTCCGAAATTAAGTTTCTTTCGCTAGTTTTTGTTCAAGATCTCTACACACAAAAAATGATAATTAGTTAAATCAAATGGCTTTTAAGCAAATATAAAGAAAATCGTTTTCATATAATTTTTATGAACTGTTTCCGAAATTAAGTTTCTTTCGCTAGTTTTTGTTCAAGATCTCTACACACAAAATGATAATTAGTTTCTCAACATTAACTTTTAATACTAATGTCATGTTTCCCGGCCCCAAACCCACTCATCTATTAGTTGTAAAACACGAGTTATTTGTATTATTCTCGCCGTTGAGATAATAATCAGTAATTTGTTTGTGAGTGAGAAAAGACATAAAAACTGAGCAAATATTTAAACACTAGAATAGATGTGTATTCACAATAGGATTATAATTCAAACTCGAGAGTTAAAAGCAATTCAAACAACAAAATATATCATAAATTGTTTTTATTATTGTTCTTATAATTGAGAGTAGAGTTAATCACAAGTAATAGTCACTTATATTGCTGTTTGGATCTTAAAATAAACTGTTTATGTATTGAAACAAATCATTTCTCTCAAGAAACTTAAATACTTGTGAAAAACACATAAAACTGTTAAATGGTTTGAGTGAACATAACGACAGCAAAAAACGAAAATTATAATTAAAATCAACGAAAAATCATAACTCAATACATACGGAGCGCGCCTAACGTGAACTCATCCTTGAAGGGACTCTTGGCTGAGGCACCGGTAAGCGTGACATAATTGGACCGACCCTTGGGGTTGGCCGCGTACAGCACTAACACAAAACTGGTGGCAATGGGCAGTCCGGTCACTTCAAACACCGGCGCTTTGGTGGACGTCCAGTTGGACTGGAGCTGTCCGTCGTCGGACTGGTAGATCTCCAGATAGAAACTCTGTTCGAGACCCCCGTCCTCGCCGGCGTCGCACTTCACGATAAGTCCGTCCGTACTTTGATTGCCGACGAGACAGTTGCGGACGGGCTGCGGGGGTCCGGCGGGGATCACCTGAAACACACAGGGCTCCGACTGCTCGCCCACCTTGTTCTTGGCCCAGCAGTACAGCTCTCCGTAGCCATACTTAGTCCGCGGGGCGTACGTCGCGACGGACCGGGTCTTCGTCTGAATGAAGTTCTTCACAGCAATCACTTCGAAGCTGTTGTTGAAACTCCACCGGAAGGTCACTTGTGGCGGGTCGGCCTCCACATCGCAAGGCACTTGGATTGGCTCACGTTTGGCCACACCGTAGATTGTCCGCTGGTCCGCGCGACATACCGGCGCGTCTATAGGCATATATAGTTAACATTTTTTAAATTGAAAACAACATTTATCTAAAAGAGAAGAAACTTTTTTTGTTGAAAGGGAACCGACACTTACACAGCACTTTGAGTTGAATGTCGGCGCTCTCGCCCTCGCCCTCGGCGTTGGCCGCGACGCACCGGTATTTGCCGGCGTCCTGACGCACCACACGACTCAACACTAGGGTATTATCACTGATGAACACGTTGTTGACATTGTTTGTGAGGGCCTTCTGCTCGTACTTCCAGCCCACTTCCGACACGGGAGGGTTGGCCGTCACGTGACACTCAAACGACACGTTCGTGCCCTCCCGCACCTGGTCGTGGTGTACACTCGCCCCAAATGACACCGACAGTCGCGGTGTGTCTGTTAGAGGGGAAGCCAATGGTATAACAAATATTAATCAATGTTTTATGAAAACTAATTTTGAAATTCAATTTTTTCTCCCAAATGAATGTCTGGGAAATGTATTTTCGATATAAAAAACGGTCTTTAAGTTTATATTTATTTATTTTTTGTTATTAATGTTTTTTAAAGTCAAATCACTTGAACTGTATTTATAATGGAGCTGGGGTTTTTCTTTACATAACTTACTACTCATTTTTAATACAGAATTTTTTTTATTATAAATGTCTCANGTCTATGGTTTTAATGATTGTGTCTGTCGTCGCGAGCTTTAAGTACTTTATTATTGAAGAGTCAGTGCAATGGGAATGTAATCGCAATTCGCGTCTCTATTTGCAATGTAATGAAAAGGCAAACCTTTATTTTGATCGATAGACTTGACTTTGGAAATAATCATAATAACGGTCGCCGCTATCACTAGTGATCCGATCACTGATATCAGTATATATATCACAGGCTTTAGACCAAATTCTGTTCAGGAATTAAAATACGGGAATATAATACAAATTCATGAATAATTTCATATATATTTAGATCAAAAAAAAGAAAGAAAAATAAACACAAGAATATAAAAAATATGAAAGCAATTACAGAATCGTGAAAGACATAAATGACAGACAGATTGTAATTATATTTATATAGCAAAAACTCCTTAAGCATAATATTTATGAGATGTAAGACATGCCAGTAATATATAGTATAAGTTTATTATAAATATATTTATTGAATGAATACTACTTAAAAACAAGTAAAACTAAAACGTTATTCCGGCAGAAAATGTTTTATTTTTGAAAACTCATTAATATATATACGAGATATTAATCTATAGCACCAGTATTCTTATGCCTAAAATAAAATCAAATGGCTTTTAAGCAAATATAAAGAAAATCGTTTTCATATAATTTTTATGAACTGTTTCCGAAATTAAGTTTCTTTCGCTAGTTTTTGTTCAAGATCTCTACACACAAAATGATAATTAGT